CAAATCAGAGATGTGCACACTTAGAGAAAATGCCTTATGACGCCATACCATGTAAGGCCTACACGAATAGAGAAGTAGGAGGTATAACATGAGGTAGACCAAAAACAAATGGACAGATAGTATCAGAGAAACCACTAGATGTGTCCATGATCGAGGCAGCCAGAAAAGCAAGAGGAACCATAACTTTACATCTCTCTCGACACACGAAGCGGTAAACGAGTAAGTGAAGAAGAAGAAGAAAGGACACTTGAGCGAAGTTAGCTGCAATCCAATTTGGATGAGCGTCTGACTTCAACCGGCTAGTTTTGTGTTATCTCTCTAGGATAGTAGGTGGTTTTTCAATTGCGGATGAATATTCGAAGCCAAAACAGTCGAGCCAGCAGGTGAACGTCAATGCACTACGCCCCATCTACCCTAAGTTTAGTAGGCCAAATCTCATTTTATCTTTTGAAAGAAATAACAAATAGAGCGCACGTAAAGGCTACGCCTATCAGGCCCAACTTACAGTCCTTGGTTGGAAGAGAGTCATACATTTTCTGTTTTCTTTTACCTGCGCCCTGTTTTCGGATTTGCATCCTGTAAGTTTAGCAACAAGTGACGCAGAAAGTTACTAGTGAAGTTTAATTCAAGAAGAGCAAATCCGAGAAACCCAATCATTCTTCTAACACAGATATACTGTATCACAATGAGATATATGAGAAGGGCTTTAATAGTGACGACAAGAGATGCAATCAGGACTTAGGTCATAAGAGAACAAATCGACACAGAACCAATTCTAAATTACAGACAAAGACAGCAAATCAAAGATGTGCATATTTAGAGAGAATGCGTTATGACGCCATACCATATAAGGCTGACAGAAATAGAAAAGTAGGAGGTAGAACATGAGGTAGACCAAGAACAAACGGAGAGATAGTATCAGAGAAACCTTAAGATGTGTATATGGTTGAGGCGACCAGAAAAGCAAGAGGAACCATAACTTTACATCTCCCTCGACACCCGAAGCGGTAAACGAGGAAGTAAAGAAGAATAAGAAAAGACATTTGAGCGAAGTTACCTGCAATCCAATTTGGATGGGCGTCTGCCTTCAACTGGTTAATTTTGTGTTATCTCTCTAGGATAGTAGGTGGTTGTTGAATTGTGGATGCATATTCTAACCTTAAACATTCGAGCCAACAGGCGAGCGTCTATCCACTAGACCACAACTTCTACCTCAAGTTCAGTAGCGTCAATTTACTGTGTAACTAACACAAAGATTAAGGGGCACAAATATTGATAACATTTTAGGATGAATAATGTTATTATGTCCCCTGACTTCCAGTTTTATTATTAGTAACCCAGTAGTTTTTCAAAAATAGATTTAATATTATCAGACTGTCTAAGTTATAAGAACCAAAAATTACGATGTCCTGACGGGCTGAGCCGTGGCAGTGTGGGTAAATCGAAACTTTATCAACAGAGCCGAAAGCTGATGATCTGTACCTCTTGTCTTCGGATTGGAGGTGCACCACACTGTTAACCCGACACTCAGTCTTTTATTATTATTTTCAAATTTGTATTAGAAAAATATTTTTTGTTCGTGTGTGACTTGCTTCACAAATGTTAATATTTTACGACAAAAAAAAAAAAAAAAAAAAAAAATACAAATTAGAACACGAGCAGGTGATAAATTTATCTCTCTGTTTCTGCCGCCAGTCCCAGTAAACATTTTTATTTATTACTACCACGACACGAGCGTCTTCAGTTGTAGAACACAGGCTACACAAGTCTAACAAATACAACATAGAGAGAACTTTTCTACAACTGGAGGAAAACACGCTAATATACTCTTTTATTTGGACGAGAAAGATATACTTATATTCTGTCATACGTCTGTACGCCCCCCCCCCCCTCTTTGCCACCCGCCCCCGGCCATATAACTTTTTTTTCCCCGGCTCATACCTGGAAGTTTGATCACCCCTGAGATATCAAGAATCTCATCCTAGATTTCAGACCAACAGGCCAAATCTCCATTTATGCTCGAAAGAAATTACAAATATCACGCCAATCTGGCACAACCTAGAGTCCTGTGCTGGAAGGGTGTCATACATTGTCTGTTTTCTTTTACCCCGCCCAGTTTTCGGTGTTTGCATACTGAAAGATTAACAACAAGTGACGCAGAAAGTCGCCAGTAAGGTTTAATCCCAGAGGAGCAAATCCGAGAAACCCAGTTTTATTCCTTACGTCCTTCTTAAGACGTAATTTTTTGTTATTTGAAGCCCCACTCTGGCTTTTGCCAGGGGCCGCAATATAGGCAGGCCATCAATATGGCCAATTGTCTAAACGCGGTTTGTGGGACCTCTCCACGGTGATCCTCATCCGCATGGTGGCACTTTGTGTCATCGGGTGTTTATCGCTTGTGTGATGTCCTGGTGGGGTAGAAAGTCAATCAATCAATCGAAACCCAGTTTAGTTTTATAACACAAAAATACTGTAACACAATGAGATGGCCGAGAAGGGCTGTAGGAGTGACGATGAGAAATGAAATCAGGAATTAGATCGTAACAGAACAAGTCGACACAGAACCAGTTCTAAATTTCATACAAAAACAGCAATTCAAAAGTTTGCCCACTTAGAGAGAATGTCTTATGACGCAATACCATACAAGGCATACACGATTATAGAAGTAGGAAGTAGAACATGAGGTAGACCATAAACAAAATGGAAAGATAGTATCCGAGAAACCCGCGATGTGTCTATGGTCGACGCGGCTAGAAACGCTAGAAGAAGCAGAAGCTTGTTTTTACCTGAACACCTGAAGCGGTAAACGAAGAAGTGAAGAAGAATTAGAAAAGACACTTGAGCGAAGCTACCTGCAACCCAATCCGGATTGGTGTCTACCGTTAGCTGGTTAATTGTGTATTATCCCTCCACGATAGTAGGTGGTTATTCATCTTTCTAGAAAGTCTGAGCCTATCTACGACTATGTCGCGACAACATTTAGCACTTAACAGTCATAGTAGACCGCATACTATATATATATATATATATATATATATATATATATATATATATATATATATATATATATATATATATATATATAGTTTTTAAAGCCGAGGTGGGAGAAAAAAAAGGGAAAGGGGGGGGGGGGGAATGTCAAGATATTTTTAAAACTGAGTGCATTTGTATTTGCTATCATCCGCTTTTTACTTCTTCAGTTTTTTTATAAATATAATAACAAAATATTTGTAAAACTATTTATAATACAGAAAGTGAAGGGCATTTTGTGTTTGTTTCCATAAAAAAAGTTTATATATTTTCAGTTTAAAATCTAATTATTACGATAACACAGGCACGCAGTTATAGATTAAGAACAAATTCTGACCAAAACATATCTTCGTACTGTCCTTGTTGCAGACTCTGTTGTCGTACTCTGTTTAATCACATTTTCTTCTGTTAGGAAGAGGGGGTGGCGTGGGGGGGGGGATGGGGGGGGGGGGGTCTTACCATATACTCAAGAGGACAGCGACCTGAAAAGAGTTTAATGACACTGATGTAGCATTATCAATGTCACTATTATCAATGTCAATATTATCCACGACATTACCTCAGTGTGAGAGTGCATCTGCCTGGAAAGCAAAGAACCAATCATCTTTTTTTTTCTTAGTGTTCACCGTTAACTTCTGCGGAAAGTTTTGGTTATTCTACATACAGCAAATATGGAAAACAAGTGAATCGATACTGACAGGACTAGAACACCTAACCACCAATACCACCCCATCAGTGGGCTGAGAGCAAAGGTTGGTGACGTGATACGTATAATCCCGGCTAAAAGGCCACTATAGAATCCAGCAAGACGGCAAAGACGAGAAATGACTGAATGACCTTCCGCCCCCTTTCCCCTCACCCTTCCCTACCTCTTTCGGATGCACTATGAGTTCAATCCCCCACCTTATTTCCACAGAGAGCATGTGAGTTCGATAACCAACATGCTACAGCAATTCTCATCGCCGAACATTTGGATCTCAAAGCGTGAGCTGGATGCTCCGGGTATATGGTATTTACGTACACAGGAACCTAGATGCCAACCCAAACCAACACAACCGGATCACACACTAACAAATGACGAATAGATCCGCTTTGAGGCTCAACATAACATTTCACTCACATATCCACGACAAGACTAACCTGTTCTTATTGCAGGAAGACAACTATAAGACCACTATGGTCACACGCGGAATATTTTCACATTTCGGAACTATCCAAAATCAAAATGTTTTCAGTACTTTTTGGCAAAATAAAATACTTAGAATTTTAAAACTGTAAATGGTGGTCCAAAGGAAGTTGTGTAGAAAAGCTCGCTCTCCTACGAAATACGCCCGGCCAAATCAAAGGGAGACAAAACCAAGAGGAAACACTAAGTAAGAAAAGGAAAGACATGCACAGCTAACAACATGGTGGAGGACGAGCGGTCCGACTCGGAAGGAAGCATTAAGCCCAAAGAAGGCGCAAATAAAAAATTTAGTCACGAAAGTGACGCAAATAACCCAGACCACAAATATAGGCGGAGACTGTTAGCAGCCTCGGCTAGCTGGCAGCAGTCTGAAAGTAGTCGACCTTTTAATTTATTTCTCAAAAGGAATCAGCAATCGGAATTGGTTGTTATTCCTCTTCTGTACCTTAGTCTTCTTCCAGAAATTGGGCTTTGTGTGTACATCCGTTTTATATAGTTCTGGCTCATTTGAATATAGACTACTGGCTCCTCGCTTATCAGGCAGATGCACTCTGACTTTGAAGAAAACACTCTAATAAGTCCTCGTTTACTGTGCTAGGGGCAGTGAGTCTGTTACCACCTTCTCCCTATGGAGTCCCGGAACCCACACAGCAAGAACAATACCCGAACTCTTCCCTTTGAAGATAAGATAACTTCCTTCAAGGTTAAACGAAAGTTTCTGGAATTCGCCCTGTTAAATTCCAGTCCATGATGTGACTTTTGAAGCAGCAGGTTTGTGAAAATATCAGGCCCGGAAAAAAAGAGGAAAGTGGAGGTAGGTGCAAAGAGATGAAAACAACGACAAATAATCTGGGGAAAACACAATATATGACTTTGATTCATCTTCTTTGTGTGTCTTACCTGAAGCAGGCATTGCCAACACTGATTTTCCAAACATCTTTTTTTTTTTTAAATCTGTACTTTTGGATAAAAATATATTATTATTGGCTGCCTAGTGGCATAAGGTTGACATATATAGTATTTATTTCATCATGTTCCATAAATTTCAGCTGTATTTTCTTTAAGCAATTGTACTCTCCTCTGTTGATGATGATGACGTTCAACCCCCCCCCCCCCCCCCAGGACATCACACCGAGCAATAAACACCCGGTGACACAAAGTGCACTATTCGGATGAGGATCACCAGGGAACAGGTCCCAGAAAATCCGTTCAGCCCATATGTTATATTGTACTAGGGTCCCCAGCAACAGGGTGGGGCTTTATTAAAAAAAAAAAAAAAAAAATTGCGTCTCAGTTTGGAACGAACTTGAGTATAACTCTCCTCTGTTTTCTTTAAAACCGGCGTCTGCTGCACCCAGCACTATTGACTATTTGTTCCCTAAAATGTTCGTACTTTGTAGCACAGGACTGCAGGTTTTATTATCATTACCTCTCTTAAGGATCACTGTGGTGTTTAGTATTTGCCTCTTTGGCCTTCCACCCAGACTGGGGATTTTAAATCTCAGGATGGTCAAGCGTTAAAGTGGCAGCCCGGGGGAAGGGGGGGGGGGGGGGGGGGTAGACATTCTTCACACAAGGAACAAGTCCCACGACTTTATTCTAATCGAATTTTTTTTTTGCTTGTCATGTTCATTTTTAATTTGTATAATGTTTCGCCCATTCTAATAAAAGCGTTGTATGTGTGCGAGCGTGCGCGTGTGTGCGTATGTGTGTGTGTGTGTGTGGGGGGGGGGGGTGTGTTGGATAAAGCGATTGTCTAATAGTTTTTGAGAAGAATGCTAACAATATCATGGATGCTAGAAAAACTATTGGTGCAGTCCCTTTAGAAACATAGACATAAATAGAGGGGGAACTTTAGAGGTCGTTAAATATTATATAATAATAAAGTAACAGAAAATGTATTGATTGGCACTCATAGAAAGAAGCAGAGAGACATAGGAAAAACCCGTAAACGGATTAGAAAAAAACAAACAAACAGGTGTTTGTAGTGGGTGTTTTCGGACGTTATGACAAGGAATATAATTGAAAGTTTGGCAACAACTGACAAGACTGACGAGAATAGAGCAAGAGGAAGGCAGAAACGTTTACAATCTTTCAAAACAATATCAGAATTGGGTAAATTAATGTAACAACACACACTTCATCATTGACGCATGCGACCTAGAGGCTTACTGTATAAGTTCACTAGGCCTGTCCACCCCACATAGTTGTCAAATATATAGAGCCAATCTATGGGAAAACTCACAAGGTAAGTGCTCCACTGACTGAGGGTGACGGAACCATTGGACTTGCCAACAGTAGATGGCTCCATGTGGGTTCACACCTCCCTCGCAAGGCCCACAACCACCCGTAAGCTGCAAGCCACACCTGCCTCACAAACTCCAAGTGGCTCAGCCATCCACACTCAACCAGTTAACTATATAATGAACAACAATGTGCACTCCCATGACCTCTGACCTATAGTATATTTATGTGCTGAAAGGCCCAGCTCTCTAGCGAAGTTGGCTAAACCGGATTGCGCGGAGACCGGGTGATGAACTCCTTGTGGTCCGGGTTCAATCCCAGATTTACGGTATTTACAATGGAATCAAGGCCGAAAGGTTGCGATATCCATAATACCGAGTCTAAGAGTTAACAACTCATGGCTTCTGGATACTAAAACAAATATGTACTGAAATGAATCCGCACACCAGAACCATCTTCGGTATCCTAAACTAGAGCACACAGGCTTTGAAATAATTTCTTTATATATATTTGCTTAACATTTTTTTAAAAATAACCCACTCCTTTGAACTCTCCTTATACATGTGTGTCTGTCTAACTATACCTCCGTTACCCAATAATGTTTCCATAGCAACTGATTCTGTTTCATTTCTTTTGTTAATATGCTTCATTAATGTTTTTTTTTCTCCTTTTGCTTGATATATAAAATGCAACTGCGGTCTGAAAGGTGAATGCTTAGAAGGGTCGAATGTAAAAAAAAAAAAAAAAAAAAAAAAAAAAAAAAAAAAAAAAACCAGCGTGCCTAATTTGTTGCCCTTCGCAAATAAAGTTCTTTCGTCTGTTCGTGTGTTCGTTCTTGTTTTCTCCCTTCGGACTTCATAAGTAATCATGAAATGTCTTCAGTCGCTCAGCTTTATGGCATCCAGTGTTTGCAGTGAATGTCCAGTACTGAACAGAAGTGATGTTATCAATGTCATGCGCTGCACTTATCGTACCGAGGAGCGCGCCAAAGGACAGGACTCCGTATCCCTGTCTAGACTGATGGACATGGGGATGCAGCCTGGAGCTACAAGAAATGAACATTTCATTAACCAACGCAGAACTGGCGACATCGGTCGTTTTACATATGTGGAGCTTTTGAGGAGGATATCGGAGCATTTATGGATCTGTCCAGGGTGCTGTGATAATATTACTTTCTAATCACTAATCAATGTTTGCAGTTAAATGTACATCCAACAAGAAGGGATGTATGAGAGGTGAAGCATGTGTGTACAACGAAAATGCCACTGGAAGAGTCAGCATTAAACTTTAAGACAGTTGCTGCGGGAGACAGAGCATCTATGTGTATATCCGGTATGCTGTGATGTCGATTTTTAAAATCAGTATGGCTACATCACGATAACATTAAAATTCTCACAGACAATTGAAAGCTTACGAGAATGCGAATATTACCTTTCTATACCTTGAGCTTTTACTCTGTCTCTGATCAGCTGCGACAACGTCTTGATTAGTCTTGGTAAGACTTTATGTTCATATGATTTCCCTCGTAGATAATGTTCAAACACTTCGTGAATAACCTTTCCGGAGCAGAAATAATAATACAAATATCCAGTTAATATGTTAATTATGTTTTAGTATACCACAGACCAAGTAGAACAGAAATATGGACATCCTTAAAGATCTGAACATCAAGGACAATCGGCTGGTAAAGAGCATCTTGTCTCGGAGACTGAAATATTCTATCTATATCAAACGCCGCGGTGAATAATAAAAAGAACAGTAGCGGACGGCATGGTACCAGGTAAGAGGGGCAGGGGCAGATCATAACCAAGATGGGCATAAAAAACACAATAAACGGTGACTAATTAGAGTGTTTTCTTCAAAAAACAAATGTAGGTAGCCGGAAAGCTGACGAAGGATCGAGTTTCATTCTGACAGGCTGTGATGGTAGCAGTGTCCTTTGACCATCTGCTACGTGATGATGATGTTAATGTTAACTATGAAAAATAAAATCGATTAAACATTAAAAGATACCTAAAATGTTAGGTTTTTTATGTTTGTACTCCTGTGATTCGCCCTTATCTATCTGGACAGCAGGGTGAGCAAGGATAGTACTTGGCGCAACCGTTGAAGTTGAACGTTTATATATATATATATATATATATATATATATATATATATATATATATATATATATATATATATATATATATATATATAAACAATCAAACACAGTGGTCATGGAAAAACTGCGATAAAAAAGAGTTAATAAAAAGAGACAATTGAGATATTCTGGAGGCATTAAAAGACATTATAAGCTTTTAAAAACCACACTGGAGGAAGCGAAATGTCGAGAGCAAGAGAACAAGAGGTAGACAACGATACAAGTGGGTCGACAACATTAAAAGATGAACGAATAGCAGTCTGAGAGAGTGTACAACTAAGACAAGAAATAAGGCTTGCTGGAGATCCATTGCAGACCGCCTTCAATGTGGAGATGATGGTATCTGACTGATGATAATTATATATATATATATATGTGTGTGTGTGTTTATTAGTGTGTGTGTGTGTGTGTGATTTTATACACTCATATACGCTTATATCATCACCATCACCATCGTCATCATCATCACCATCCTTTGTCTGGATTAGAGGTAAAATGGGGCTCGCATTCTACTCTTCCACTCCGCTCTATTGCATTCAACTTTCTCGATTTCTGAAATGGAGTTTAGTCCATCGTGTTTTGCCTCTCGTAAAAATGTTCTTAATTTTTTCCCCTTGGACTCCCCCCCCCCCTCTCTCCCTCCCCTCTCTCTCTCAGACCGTTTGTTTCCCATTCAGTGCCTGTTTTGTAATTATTTGCTCATTTCATCTCAGGGCGGGCCCAATATATTCCCACCTTCTTTGTCTTATTTCAGTCGATACAGGCATTTTCCAGACATTTCTCTGATCTCTTCCTTGTGTTCTTTTTTTTCGAATTAATCAAATTTTATGTTCATGATTATTTGCTCAGACATTTATTTTCAAATGCACTTAACGTCGGTTACATATCTTTGGTAGTTCTTCAACTTTCGCTGCCGTTTGTTAGAGTTGAAATATCGTTAGAATTGAAGATTCGTAGTTTGGTCTTAAAGCTGTATAAGTTGGAGCTTCATGTTTTGTTAAGGCTTTTAAAGATTGTAATTGCTTTGCCAATACATATCGTAATTGTCTTCGTGGCATCTCCTTGAAAGTCAAAATTGCTAACCAATTTGGCAAACTGGTCCGTTACTTTTATTGGTTTATCTCTAGCATGACATCTACATGATCTGTTGTTGGTATCTTTAATGAATTTGCTTTTTCGTAAGTTATTTGCAGTCCTATTTTTGATGCCGCAGGTGACAAATCATCGTTGTCCGTACTGGATGCAGAGCACTTATTTACACAAGATTGTTCAAATAACCGTCGCAGCCAATAGTAAAGACTATCTATATACACTACCTGCTCTGCTTTATTTGTAGAAAATCTGTTGGCTGTATCTGGCTCCAGTTTGTATGTGTTGTCATAGGCAACATTTGTCTGCTGTCTGTCCAGAACCTTTGACCCTCTCATGTTTGACATCATACGTATCTTCTGTCTGAGACGGCTGAGTTTACTTCTGGCAGACATGGGTATGGGAATGCTCTCTTGACTTGTTTCACTTTTCTTGTCAATGGTCGATCCACTTTTAGGAAGGATCTTCCTTAGACCTTCCATACTTTCTTGATGTCACGTGTTTGGCGTTAAGATTATTATCTGCAGTATAAATAAATCATAATAAATTATGGAGACAATTTGTGTACATATATTTTTTAGTTAAACACATGTTTTTTGTTAACTAATAAAATCATTAGAGACCTGGGGAATAGACATGCTAAAGAAAATAAAAGTAAATAATAATTTTAACCATAAAAAACCCCGCCTTTTTTTTTTTTACATCTGAGGCGTATCCGGCATACGATACTAGACCAGTGGCGTACCTAAAGTATGGAAGGCAGGACATGTGTCCTGGGCGCCTCTTACAGACGGCGCCACAACACTCAATTAAAAAAAAAAGTTAACAGGGTCCCACAGTGAGTTTAATTTGGTTAAAGAAGGTTAGAAAGGAGCCACCGCACAAAAATATAAACACTCAGCCTTGATCTGGACCATTTACACTAATAAATAAAAAATGTTGCGTTCCGAAGTCTGCCAGACAAATTTATATTATCTGTTACAGTACCCAGTACATGTTTCTAAACACACACACACACACACACACACACACACACACACACACACACACACACACGTTGTTATTGTTCGAAATATACTATCAGTTTGTACAACACTAGTTTAGTTATTTTTTTTCATTTAAAGAAAGACGATCACTAAACAAATTTGACATAAAGAAGAAAAGTGAAGCTCAGAAACGGTGGGGGGGGGGGAGAGAGAGAAAGAAAGAGAGAGAGAGAGAGAGAGAGAGAGAGAGAGAGAGAGAGAGAGAGAGAGAGAGAGAGAGAGAGAGAGAGAGAGAGAGAAATAGAGACACAGGGGGGGGGGGCGAACAACAACAAAAGCTGGAGGCAGAGTAAAGTAAAAATTCAATCGAGTTGTTCATGCCTGTCTCTGAAATGCCTGGCTCAAGTAGTTTGACAGGTTACATAGAGACTCCTACACCCGCTACAACTTCGTTGGACTCTAAAGTCAGATCGACTGCAAATGTGTCGTAAGATGAAGCGTAAGTAAATTAAGACAAATCACAAACTGAAAAGGAAGTAAATAACAAATAAAAAATGAAAAACAGAGTATGATTAGGCCAGTGGTGGGTATGCTACTGAAAATATTGTCATGGCAATAACAGTAAGAGGAAACAAAGAAATTGGTGATAATATAGAATCCATTGATGAAAAGACATCTGATAAGCTGGAATCTGAAAACGCCCATATTAGTAAAGTAGGTGGTGTCATATTTTTCTTCTTTTCTCTACTCATGGAATGTCTCACAGCGCCAGGGCAGGAAGAGATCCATGGAATAGACCCTACTGTTCGTATTGTATAAACCACTAGCTAGGCTGCGATATCTGACCTAAACTCTTCAGTCTTCAGTAGTATAGTTGTAAGTATCCACCCTTCACGCGGGTGACCAGTGTTCGATTCCCCGCTGGGTGATAATTGTTCTTTTTCTCTTAAAAGGGTGGTTGCCACTTTGTGCTGTGGTTTACAGCTAGGCTGCAATATCTGAGCCTTTCGCCCAAAGACATTCGACTTCAGTTAAGTCCAAATTGGCCTCCCCGCGACGCTTCTCGATCAAAAACTATTTGACGATGACAGAAACTGTTAACTAAGACGGCTTACAGTCCAGTTTAGTTTGGGTGGACACGGATGCCAAGGTCAGTTAAAAATCGTCCCTTCGGAGAGGGAGAGACAACGGGTGCGGGGTATTTTTCTCCGCTATTCGTGAGTATAGTGTACTTTTTACAGTGGGTTCCATCTCTGGTTAAGCGATGACGTTTTTTTTTCTCTGTCGGAGGCAAAAATTAAATTAAATAGTCAGTGGCGACAGCATACGGCGCTTACTCCTCTGGCTACACCGACCTAAACAGACTGTAGTGAAAGTTTTTGTTTTTGTTGTGATGGTGGTGGTGGTAGTGGTAGCAGTAATACTGGTACTGGATGGATGATATGGTAGCTGTTACACTGGCCCCATTTACTTCTCAGTACAAATTAATGCTACCCATTTTAGTTTAGGTGGACACGAATGCCAAGCTCAATTTAGTTACAATTTTCGTCAGATGATGACTTTCCCATCCTTCGGAGAGAATGATATGATTAGTAGGGGGTGCAAAGGGGGGGGGGGGGGGGGGGGTAAAGGGGGGGGGTTGATTCCAGACACTGTTAACTGAGAGAGCTTACAAAATTATTTTAAAGTTCTTATTTCCTAACTATTTCTATTTTAATAATTTCGCCAGGTGATGATTTTTCAATCCTTCGGACAGGGAGATATGACTGGGTTGAGGGGAGAGGAAGGGGGGGGGGGGTATGACAGACACTGTTAGCTGAGAGCTATTTTCTTTCTTCTCCATTTTACCATTCTGGGCCACAGCAACGCGTGGCCGGGTACAGCTAGTTTGCAATAAAAGCCTACTGAGGTAAAAATGTAATTTAATAACCAAATATGATTAAAGAGAACAACAAGAAAAATTCAAAATACTGTTAGCAACAACATGGAAAAAAACAAGCACATAATTTTAAATGTCAAATAACAAACGAAACAGTCACAAATAACTGGTAATTTAGTATCTAAACATAAACTTATGGTTGACACTGTTTTGTCTTGATAGTGTCTGTTATTTTTACGTGTGATCTTGGACTAGGCATAATCGAGATCACTCTTCTGTCTCTGGTTTATGTGACTGTTGAAGCTGGAAATCCTGGTGATTACAAGTACTAATGCACTGAAATTCACCTCCGGAAATTCCTCAAGCCCCAGGTTGGAGTCCACTGATCTAAAGGATGGTGTTATTCTGCTTTAGTTTAAGTACATTTTTAGTATGTTTACGTACTTGGGTACCCTGATAGCGTCAGATGGTAGATGTTTTAAACAAGTTAAATGTAGAATAACTCACGCAAAGGCAAACTTCTACAGTATGACGAACAGTTTTTGCAACCTTTCTTTGTCAACTGAGACGATAAAGAGAATTCTTGAAAGCTACATAAATGCTATCTTGATATACGGAAGTAAATCATGGACAGTTGATAGATTAGTGAAAAAATTATTGAAAGCTGCGCGGATGTGGTTTTATAGACGAATCATGAGAATGTCCTGCACAGATAAAAAGAGTAATGAGGATGTCTTGTAAGAAGCCGACGAAGAGTGATTGCCTACATCAGAAACAATCTATATTCTTTGGTCAAGATGAGATGGAGAAAATTGGAGTACATTGTGACAGTAGGAAAGCTGGAGGGGAAGAGAGGAAGATGCCGGACAATCTGACACCATGGCATGGGGGAATCATCTGCATCAGAATTGATTGAAAGTACACGAGACAGAAGGTTGTGGATAGACATGACTAACAATGCAACACGGCAATAACTTTAAGAAGAAGAAGTAGTAGTTATTCTGCACAGTGGGCTATTAGAATTAAAAGGTAATTATAAGAACATAAAAATTAGGATACGTTTCGAGCGGATATAATAAGTTAATTTCTGTTCCAACTTCATAGCATGGGACAACGAAAAGCACACAGAATACGCATCGCTGTCCCTTGTGGGAAAGAAAATAACTGAAAAAGACTGCAGTCTGGACAAATCCCGTATCAGACATGTAAAAATACTCGAGGCAGCCCTCAGAAGTGCCAACGCACGCAATCCTTCACTAGAATTGTAACTCATCGTCGTCTGCAGCAGTAATTATAACAGATCGGTAGTTACACACGCACTACTGCATAAGGTACCGTAAGTTCTGTGGCAACAGATCACTCGCTCTTGTTTATTATTTATATATATATATATATATATATATATATATATATATATATATATATTTTTTATTTTTTTTTTTTTTTTTGGTTATAAATCTGCAGTTCACAAAACAAACCACGCTGGACACATCTAAAAAGCACTCAAAATGAAATTCACAGCTTAGGGCGTCGCGCCGTGCACGTAACATCGTAGATACGTACAGTCCACATATTTAGGGACAAGCAAAAACCCAGACGTTTGAAAAAGAAAATAACTTGCCAAAACTAAACGTCCGCCTGCCGATCTGCCATACTGGACAGAAAGCGAAGTTTCAGGAAGATACCAAATTGTAACATATAAATTAATAGAAACATTCATAAACAGAAGATTTAGGGTAGCTTTCTTTTATGATGTAGCATGCAGGTTAATGAGGCTTTATCCCCGTGGGGGTTCCGGGACCGTATCGTAGGAAAAACAATTCTTTCCCCCGAAAAGCATGTTTTTAGAGTCCACTAATTTGGGGTTTTTCTAGAAGTCGAAGTGAATCTGACTGAGAGGCAAGGAACCAACAGTCTGCATACAAATAAGTCTGACCTGTAAAACAATCAGGTTTTGAATAAAGTCTAAAGAGGTGAGTGAACAGCCAGAACTTTGCGCTAGAGTTTACAACCGGTGAACGCGAAAAGAAGAAGAAGAATGAGGCTTTCGTGAGTTTAGCGCGTGAGCTCTCATCGCGAATGCTCTCGAGTGTTTTGTTCTACAAACGCACACGCGGAACAGATCAGGTAAAGGAAATAGAATGAAACAATGAGACCGCCGGATACACACATTGATTGACGTTGATGATCTGTCTCGTTTGTTTCACGAGTACAATCAATGTGTATGGGTATTTATCAAGCTACAGGGCTTTGTAATTACCTGCTACACTGTAGTTTGACGAGAGGCACTTAAAGGCTAAAAAAAAGGTCACACCAGAAAAGTGCCTGTCTAAATTGGATATAAAAACTCATATACCTGACCAACAGTTTCAGTGCAACTGACCAACAGTTTAGTGCAACTAAACAACACTTCACTGCAGTGGACAACTCTCTACAACTAAAGCAACAGTTTACTGTTAGTGAGCAACTGTTCAGTGAGCAAATGACCAACCGTTCATTGTCACTCAGGCATAGTTCAGTGTGACTGAGCAACTGTTCACTACATTTGATCAACAGCGCACAGCAATTGAAAAACCGCTCACTACAACTGAACAACAGCATACTGCAACTAAATCAC